GCAGCAACAGGAACCGCAGCAGCAGCAGCAGCAGCAGCAGCACCGACGGACTTTGAGAGGCTAGAGCCGCAGCATGCTGTAACAATTGGCCGCTGTGCTGCACGCATGCGGCTGGGGTGTACGTACACCGCACTGACTAAGGTATGTTGCTGCTGCCTGTTCAGCTGCTGCAGCAGCTTGGTGCTTGCTGCTGCCAGCTGCTGCGCTCCTGCTGCTACTGCGGGTTTTGCTGCTGTTGCTGCTGCTGTATGTTATCATCCGCAGGCCCTCAGCAACTATGTCTGCAACTGCCTAGCCAGTTCACAGCAGCAGCAGCAGCAGCAGCAGCAGCAGCACGGCCGGCAGAGAAGCAGGAGAGATACTTTTCTTGCAATGTCAAAGTGCTTGTTTGCGATCGCTCGGCTGCGGGAGCAGCAGCAGCAACAGGAACAGCAGCAGCAGCAGCAGCAGCAGCACTGCGTGTTGTCGCCTGATGAGCTGCAGATGCTCTTGCTGTCAGCTGCAGCAAATGTGAAGCTGCTGCAGCCTGAGGAAATGCCACTGTTGCTTGCTGCTGTGAACTCGCTTCTCGCCCAGCAGCAGCAGCAGCAGCAGCGGCAGCAGCACGCGGGCACCGGCGACGCAGCAGCAGGAACAGCAACAGCAGCACTTACTGCGCCGATTTCCCTGCAGAAGGCTGCTGCGATGTTTGCTGCTAGCTGCCGTGATGCTGTGCAGCAGCAGCTGCAGCAGCAAAACATCGACAAGCCGGATATAGCGCTGCAGCTGCTGCTGCACATGCACGTTTTGCATGTGCGCTGCGGCTGCCTGCTCTCTGACTCTGCTGCTGCTGATCCTGCTGCTGCGTCTGCTCCTGCTGAACACTGTGCTGCTGCTCCTGCTGCAGCAGATGCTGCTGCTGCTTCTGCAGCAAAGGAGTGGCAAGACGTTGCTGCAGGTCTTGCTGCAGCTGCGGAGGCTCTGCTGCAAAAGATGCCAGGAGGCTCTGCGCAAGCAGCAGCAGAACCGCGCTTAGGGGCTGCTGCTACAGCAGGAGCAGCCGGCGCAGCAGCAGCACGATCGGAGCCAGCAGCAGCAGAAGCAGCCGCAGAGGCTGCTGCGCTAGCCGCCGTGCTGCAGCAAAGCGGCGTAGCCGCCTCAGAGTGCATAACTGCTGCTGCGCCCTTGCTGCTGCTGAAGTACAGCAGGGACCCCACGGCAGCAGCTGCTGCTGCTGCACAGCTGCGAGCAGCAAGTACAGCAGGCAGCAGAGGCAAAACTGGTGCTGCTGCTGTGCTGCAGCTCAACAAAGAGCTGCATCGAGCTATTGTTGCTGCGGAGTCTGTAGAAGACGTGCTGCAGGCTGTAGCAGCAGCAGCAGCACGACTTAAAGAGCAGCAGCAGCAGAAGCAGGGAAGCAGCACTCGCAAACTGCGTGAAGCACAACAGGACAGGAAGGGACCAGAGGCTGCTGCTGCTGCTGCTGCTGCTGCTGCTGAGTCAGCTGCTCCAGCAGCAACAGCAACGGAGATGTGCCACCTGGAGCCCGCAAACATAACGGCCGCGCTGCACCACGTGGCGCTCCGCGTGAAGCCGCAGCAGCAACAGCAGCAGCAGCAGCAGCAGCAGCAGCAGATCCAGCTGCTTGTTGACGAGAGAATGCTGCTGCTGCTGGATGCTGCTGCTGCTTACCTCCCCACAAGCGACGGCAGCACAACTCGTATTCTATGGGCGCTGCAGCGGCTCGGTTTGCTGCGGCCTCTGCCTCTGCTGCTGCAGCAGCTGAAGCTTCTGCCGGGGCAGCAGCAGCAGCAGCAGCAGAAGCTTCTTTTGCTACGAAGCCGCCTTCAACGGGGTCTGGTGCTGCGGCTGCAGCAGCTCTTCGACGAGCAGCAGCTAATGCCGCAGCAGCTTGCTGCTGCACTGCGGGTGCTTGCTGCACTAGTTGAAGACCAGGGCGACCACGCAGCAGCAGCAGCAGCAGAAGCAGCAGTGAAAGACAGTGCTTTGGAGCAGCAGCAAGTAGAAAGTGATGCTGCTGCTGCTGCTGCTGCAGAGGACAGCCTAAGAGCAGCAATGGGAGACCCGCGATTTGCTGCTTCTCTCTGCTGCGCCCTCGCAGCGCAGGTGCGGCAGCTGCAAGCAGCAGAGGCATCTGCTGCTCTGTTGGCTTTGGCCAAGCTGCGGTGGTTGCTGCTGCGGCCTGCTGCTGCTGCATCTGTCCAGCTACAACAGCAGCAGCAGCAGCTGCTGCTGCTGCAACAGGTAATGCAGCAAAAGCTGCTGCCGGCCCTTCTTAGGCGAATGCAGCAGCTTTTGCCCGTCTCGAACACGCAGTGTATTGCTGCTGCCTTGTGGGGCGTTGCAGTCCTGCAGCAGCAGCAGCAGCTTCTGCTGCTACGCCAGGAGCCGCAGCAGTTAGCCTGTGATACCGCTGCTGTTGAGAGCGCAGCAGCAGATTTCGTAGCTGCTGCAGCACAGCAGCTGCAACAGCAGCGCTCTGTCCGAAGAGAGGGATCAAGGTGTCTTTCTTTGCTTCTGGTGGCCTTCACGCAGCTGGCGCCGCTGCTGCTGCAGCAGCAACAGCAGCAGCAGCAACAGCAACTGCTGCTGCAGCCCCCGGAACAGACACTGTTGCTGCTTGACGTTATAGGGACAGCCTTGAGACGCGTGAGGGATGACGAGGCAGATGCAGTGCAGCAAGTTAAAAGGCAGCAGCAGCAGCAGCAGCAGCATGTAGCTGCTGAGTTGCTGGATTTGGTGTGGCAGCTGCTTGCACGCTTGACTGAGCTGTACGTGCAGCCGGGGGCTGCTGCTACTGCTGCTGCTGCTGCGGCTGCTCCTACTGCAGAGGGGGTAGCAGCTGATGCTTCTACTGCTGCTGACGTTGCTGCTGCTGCTGTGAATGCTGCCTGGTTCGAGGGTCTGTGCGGCGAGTTGGCTGCTGCAGCAGCAGTAGCACTGGAAGCGGTCACTCCCGAGCAGCAGGACCAGCAGGAGCAGCAGCAGCAGCAAGGGAGTGTTACTCAGGAGCCGCAAAGACAGCAGCAACGGCAGCAGCAGACTGAGAAGCACCAGCACCAGCAGCAGCAACAAAAGCAGCGAGGTATCCCGAACCGGATCGCTGCCCGGCTGCTGCACTCCGTGGTGCTTGCTGCTGCTGCACTGCAGCGAACAGCAAGTCTGCATGCCCCCCACAGTGCTGAGGCCTTCGCAGCAGCAGCAACGCAGCGGATGCTGCTGCGTGCTGCAGAACAGCTAAAGGCTGTGGCCCTCAGGCAGCTAGCTGCTGCAGCAGCTGCTTCCTGTCAAGCAAATGCTGCCCGTAACACCCACAAGCAAAACGCACACGAAACAGTAGCACCGGCTGCTGCTGCTGCTGCTGCCGCTGCCTATACGCCCCAGAGGCAGCAGCTCGCAAAGACTGCGCTGCTGGCTCTCGTAGCAGCAGGGCGGCTTGAAGCGCTGCAGCGGGTAAACTTGCAGGCAGCAGCAGCAGCAGCAGCAGAAGGAGCAGGAGGCGCAGCAAGACCTGCACCGCTAGACTCAGCAGAAGCAGACAGGGCAGCAACAGCAGCAGCGCCAGCTCTTGACGCTGCGGCAGCAGCAGCAGCAGCAGCAGCAGCAAAGGCTCCACGCATCTCTGCGTTGAAGCTTATACGGCACTTGCTGCAGTTGCTGCCGCACACAGC